TGCAATTGTTAGGAGATTGACCTAATTGTAAATGACTTTCAGCATTTTTGTTGATTATTAATTCATTTTTTCATAAAATATATAAAGTCATGAATTTCGTGGATGTTCCCCTTAAAGAAGAGTTAAAAGAGTGGTTAATTTTACAGGCATTTAATTTCCGCTGCAAAGTAATATTTTTCACTAAAATAAACTGAAACCATCTAATCGAAAATGATGATATTTTGACATAACATAACACTTTTCTTTTCTTTTTTTTTAATTCATGGAGACTTGTAACAATTTTGTTGTAAATAATATATAAAGTTAAATGCAAGTACAAAAGAGTTGTACACAAAAGTTCTTTAATTACAAAAAGAAAAAGAAAGGGGAAAAGATCCTGGCTTTTTTATTAGTCATTCTTTTTTTTTTTTCGGAAACGATAGATATTATTATAAATTAAAAGTATATAAATGTGCGAATACAAGCAGTTCCTAGCTGAATGAGAGCATCCAACAACTGAAAAGTGGGAGGACAGGTCAGAAGACCGCCCAGAATCCCGACTAGAAACAACTAAAAAGTACCCCAACAAGGTAATGCCCGAGTGTCGGATCCCAACAAGATAATAAAGTAATACTCGGGTGCACAGAGGCCAACGACCCAGACTAAAAACACAATCCTAAACAACACTAATAACAGAAACACAAACCAACAAAAACTAAAACAGAAACAAAATAAAACGAGAAAAACACAAGCAGCTAATGAAAAAAGCAGTCCTCCCTCAGCAGCTACAACCGAGCTTGAAAGCAGACAATGTCGACGCCAAGGAAAGCTCCGAAGCTCAAGAACCACGTCCGCCACGGCAGAAAGCCTAGCAAAGACGATGACCAAAGCCGCAAAACAATCCTAAAAAGCCTACCCGCATACGGGCCTCAAGGTCTTCATCTAACATTTAGTTTTATATGCTCCAAATCAAGCTGAAAGAAAAAATCTTATAGCTTTTACATTTTAATTTCAATCAAGTTATATGCTCCAAAAATAACACAAATATATACATTAAATTTTTTTATGTCATTGTATATATATATATATATATATATTAATTAAACCAATTAATGAAGGAGAAGTTTGATTCTTGTGGATTTGGGATCTTACCTTATCATGTATGAATTGCAATTGTGCTGCAAAATATCCAAATTTTGGAAGCTCAGCACCAATAATGCATATCACTAAATTTACATATATATATATATATATATATATATA